ATGCGGATGTTGGGGATGTAACGGACGGACATAAAATATTTATTTTATTTATATTTATCACATCGTTTGCACGTGTCAGTAAATTATTAATGTAATTTGACTTGGCAATATATTTTGCTGTTACTTCGGGCGAATACACGACGATCAGCACAAAACTACGTTGTCGATTCAAATTCAAATTCTTTATTGCGTTCCACAATGTTTTACTTATACGGTAAAATAGAATAATATAGATCTTTGTGGACCCTTTTTTTTTGAGGGGGAAAATCATCCAATGACTTCTCCCGCCTGGGTGAGGCGGGAGGGAGTGTTAGACTCTTACTGACTAAAAACCACCCCGTTCCTACACCTGCACTTCGAACCGGAGCCCCGGCAACCCGTTAAGTCTTCCGCGGCTCCGTATCGGCATCAGCCTTGTTAGGCCCCATCTGTGGTGGTCTGATGGCTCCTTGAGGCGCGCGCGGAACGATCTTTGTGGACCCTGTCGGGCAGAGCAAGGAAATATATAATTTTTTAATACAAAAAAAAATTACAAACTAGCATTACAGAATCACAATACATTACAAAAACAATACTAGCATTTTGTTATAATTTATACGAACATAAACACTTTTTTTAGTAACAGCAGAGTTTATGTTCAACGTACAATAAGATCAAAGACTTTCCTTGACGAAAACTATATACTTTTTTCTGCCTTTTCCATAAAATAAGACATTATTGTATGGTTAAAGCAAATACTCATTGGTTGAAGTGTTGATACATAGACCACTTAATTAGCCTAACAAATTAAACCTTAGGATTTAGTCAGTAAGAGTCTGACACTCACCCAACCTGACCTCATCCAATGCGGGAGAAGTAATTGGATCAATTTGTTCTGTTAAAAAAAACCGTGGAATTATTTTCATCGGTTAATTTTGTATTTACCAAGCTAACCAATTAATTAAAAATTGTGAAACGCTTCCCTACAAGCATTAATTTTATACCAATTATCCTTTAAAATAAATGCTTTACCGCAACTATTTGGGGTAAAATTCCATGTTTTGTGAGTGAGTAAATATTTTGTGAATTGTAAACATTTGTAGTTGGGGTTGCTGGTGGATTTTTGGGCTTTTGGCTACACAAATTTTATTAAAGGTTATCTAAATTTATACCACATTATTTCCCTTTTTTACATAATACATCTGCAATTGTGGTGTTTAAGAAATGAAAACATGGTTTTATAGAATGGTTGACGAAGTTGCAGTTACTATAAATTAGTCTTTTATTGTTGCATGTTGCAAAGGGATCGAAACTATTGCCTTAAATCGGATAGATTTCCATGTTACGGCTTGGGACCATGCCTGATTAAGACGGAATTCTCAAGCATTATATACTATTTTACGTACATTGTTCCAGAACTACGTAACATAATCCCCGAATGGGTAGGCAGAGGTACACATTATGCCAGTGTACAATGTAACACCCACTTTCCACTATTTATGTTATGAGTCCCATGTAATAGGGGGTGAGCCTTGCCATATACCGGGCACAATTCCAGACTCCGTGCTACTACTGAGATTTTTTTTAAAACCCAGTTTTCCTTTGCCCGACCCGAGAATCGAACCCAAGACGCCTTGCCCGGCAGTCGCAATTGCGACCACTCGGCCAACGAGGCAGTTTTCCAGAACTACCCATAATAAAACCAATAACTTACACGATGTGAAAATTGTTTTATGCTTGTCAATTCCGTCCCATTTGCCGTCGACTACGCATTGTAACATCCATACCACGATCAAGGCAAAAATACCCCCAAATAAATAAATCTGCATTTGCAGTTCAAACGAAAACATCGTTTAATATCTGGGTCGTAGCCGTGCAAACAGGCAATTTGAGCAGAATGCAACAGTATTGTGCTTGACCGCCTTTTTGTTTCAACGTGGCACTTTTGATTCGAGTGAGATCCGCGGTTGGCTTTATTAATTTGTCACTTTACTTTATCGATACCTATATAATAATAATAAAAAATAAAAATCTTTATTTTCTTCAAAATGCTCTACGGATACAAATTATTTAATATGTTACAATTAAGAGACTGGTGTCTGTTAAAGGTATAACCTGTGTTACAGATCACCAGGCCCGCGTGACCCCCGGAAACATTAAACAATATAAAATATTCGTTTAATTAAAGAAAATGGACAACATTATATGAGTGAATAAATATGTTTAGTATTTACTGTGGGTGACTTACTTATAAATACAATGTTTTATTTGGAAAAATACAATATTAAATTACATTTACCACAGTATCATGTGATGTATCCCTTGTAATGTAAAGCCATATATTGTATTCTTTATCACATTATTCACAAAATTTTATTCTGAATGCTGTCCATGAACTATTTGTTAATATCATTCATGGCTCAAGAGAGAAATTAGAAGACCGATATTGGGCCCGGTATATGGCAATAGCCTCACCCCCTATTACATGGGACTCATAACATAATAATGAAAAGTGGGTGTTACATTTTACAGTGGCATTAAGTGCCATAATGTGCACGTCTGCCTACTCTAGCTACCTGTAGCCTGTACACCTTCTAAGAACAGAAAGCCTACAGAAAGAAATTACACTGTAATACAAATCTTCATCTTACAAATTAACTTTAACCATAAAATTGACCTTTCAAAATATACAGAAAAAAGTTCTCGAAACTCATTATGTAGGAACTCAAGTTTCTTGATAACGGGATCCCCTCGGGTCTTGAATATTGTAGGGTTACAAGTTCAGTTCAGCATTGTAAGGTTTCTGTTTAGTTATAATCAAACTAAGGCAGTTATTATTATTATAGACAAAGTTATAACAAGACTGTCGACTTGGGTAATTTATAGCTTTTTGTATTTTCTCGTTTTATTATAGTCTCTGGTACCTACAGGATGAGTTGTCAAAGTAATTATTTTAGGTGATCTAGTTTTATTTCGTTTTACTTTGGAAAAGAGATGATAATATTGTTAAGTCTATAAGACTAAAGACTAAAGAACGCTTTTCTGGTAAATATTTCGTGTTGAGAGAAATCACAGAAGTAACTTAAAAATATACGGGCAATTACATGAAAATGAATGGATGTGTGAAGAATTATTATGACTTGTGTTTAATATTGTGACAATTTTTGGGCCTCAATGATGGGACTCTAAAGAATGATCAATTTCTAAAAAAGTTCAATCTTTTAATGTTTAAGAACTGCTATAGGAGCAGATCTTAGCAAATATTGATACTTGCCAAACGATATTAGACCTTAAGTAGACCTAAAGTCAGCATTTATTGATATGACCTACATACATGTTTCTGAGGGATTCCTAAGGGAGGGTGTGTCCTCGAAGAAAATTGCTTATGAAGAGACGGCCTTGGGTATTATGAGAATGAATATAATTATTTTGCACTAATATGTATTGTGTATTCTACCCTTTACTTTTGTTGATAGTTGTCATGTAGAAGAGCTCCAAGGAAAATTGCAAATGTTTAGCGGAATTGGATTTTTTTTTCTTTTTTTTTTAGAAACGTTGCTAGTGTGGGTCTATGATTTTCTCGTGTGCCGTGGGTGCGTTTACAAACATACAATATCACATACACATGACACCCGACCAGAAACAACAATTTGTAGATCACACAAAGAGTTGCTCCGTGCATGCATATTGTATGTGCAAAGTCTCAAAGATCTAGACTGGTTTTCAAAAGATTCATCACAGTGGTTCAAAGTCATACCTAAAAACATTTTACATTCCATGTGATGCTGGAAACAACCAAATAATTATTTTCTATAAAGAATGTGAGCTCTTTTCTTGGCTTGACATTAGTTTAGTTAATTATTTAATATGGTTCACAAAAGTGCCCAAAACAGTGTTTTTTTATCTCAAACATAGCAGTCACACAACGGACAAAACAATATTTTCAAAAATATCACACCGACATCGTGTACCATGTAAACATTGAATAATTACTCAACACACGTGTTGGTTAGCCACTTATTTCATTTAAATGTGTAAATGAAATCTTCAGAAAGCAGTACAGAGCAATTACCGTCGAAACATTATCCAGTCCCAAACTACCTCAAATATTTGTTAGGAAACTATTATATTGTTTGGCTACGGAAAGGACCGTTTATTTGTTTTAAACTATTTACATACATCAGTTTTGTTTAGACAGGAACTGTTTAAGGTCGTTTGTGAAGTGATATAAACTGTGAAACTCTGTCTATTGTTTTGTTTGCTCGTTTAAGTTTAATGTCTCATTTGGGTTATAGTTAGTAGTACCTCGTAGACTGTGTCAGTGACGATTAAAAGATCCCAGATATTGGTTTTAGCATCAGTTGCTTTTGTTTTAGATAGTTTTTCATAATTTGCATCAATTTTATCATTAATCAACTTAAAAAGAAGCAAGAAGAAGGTTGTCACTTTTACCTGTATTATGTGTATGTAGAGGTATATGTATGTTGGTGCCTGATAATCTCTCGATTGTCTGAACCGATTTGGATGTGGTTTTCAGAAAAATGTTTGTTTAAAACTCAGGTTTTCGTATATTAATTAAACGACTATAAAAAAAGGATGGGGCTGAAGTCGGGTTTTTTGAAATGTAGTTTATAAAAGAATAGTTTTACACGATCGGCTTGTAAACTGATTATGAAATTTTTTGTATACTTCTTTGTAACATGCCTAAAATAACATGCTAATAAGGTATTTTTCTATTCGTGATCGGCATTAGTTCTGAACATAATTAAGAAATATAGAATAAGTCTATCCACGTCTTATTTTTCAAAGTCAAAGTCAAAATCATTTATTTCAATTACACCAGAAAGGCACTTTTGAACGTCAACAAAAAATTAAAATTGAAGCTATTAGCTCATTCCAAGGTCTTGTTTACTCATTCCTATAGAGAAGAACGAACAAGAGAACTTTATAGGTTACTCTATAATATTTACCAATTAAACCTGTAAACAATGTATCTATAAATCCATTTTTTATCTTTTCAGATACTAAACTGAATACCAAACCAATGACTTGAGACCACCGAATTCCACCATGACGTGTCCGTTTCGCCGAGCGTCCTCTCAACATCAGTTCGCAAATGGCAGTGGATCCAGTGCAAAGAAACCAGAATTCAGATCCCGACAGTCCTCGGTACACCTTCCAGGACCTGAAGAGGAAGATGGAGAGAGAAACACCCTCACACTCAAAAACTTGAGTGAAGCCCTCCAGCTTCTCACAGCACCTTCGGTAAGTATTTTTCCAAATTTCAACCATATACCACAGAAATAAGGTAACTTTTAACGTAAAAATTACGTACTAAATGTCGATTTTACCTATTTTGTCTTACCTAACGCGAAAAGTAAGCCTTAACGCCTCTTTAGACAGTTGAAGTAATTGACTTCTGTTGTAGCGTTTTAAACTTTATTTCCAAAGCTTAGAGTTTTATTCAAAACGACTCGCAAGTCATCGGTGCATATCTTAAAGGAAGGCGAGTTATGGAGTACTGCTTCTGCGTCTAGTTCTTGGTTCCGTTCAAGATGGGACTTTATCACTTCATGTTAAGGTTCTTTGTTGAACTTAGTTTTAAAGTTATCGGTGAGTAACGTTGAAACATATTGACGCTTAAGCGCTTAAGCGGAGCGTTGCAGCTGCTGACTGGGGCTTATTCGTACCTTGCCACTCGATTTTAATCCTTACCACTCGGTTATTAGGCTTCTTATTAAAGCTGCTCCACCAAGACGATTTAGCGAAGTTCTACCATTAATTTTGAATCGTACGGAGTGGAGTTCCGTAGACTGTTTTAATATTTTATCGTCAACTGGCAGTTCTTAAATCCTAAGAAATCTTTGAAAAGGCTAACGAATTAGTGTTGCTTTAAGCTTCTACTGCTCTGTAATTTGATAAAATTTATCTTGGTGTACTTTAAATATCTGTACCGTATGTGACACATAAATAACATGTCTTGCAATTATGACTTCTTAAAACCTAACTGAATTTAGACCAACTCTCCAAGCCTTTATCGCGTTAGTCGAAACATTTACAATTTTCACGTCAATAACATCACGCCTTTTATCCCCGAAGGGGTAGGCAGTGGTGCACATTATGCCACTGTACAATGTAACACCCACTTTTCACTATCTATGTTATGAGTCCCATGTAATAGGGGGTGAGCCTATTGCCATATACCGGGCACAATTCCAGACTCCGTGCTACTTCTGAGATTTTTTTTAAAACCCAGTAATACTTTGCCCGACCCGGGAATCGAACCCGAGACCCCTTGCCCGGCTGTCGCACTTGCGACCACTCGGCCAACGAGGCAGTCTTACTTATTATAATACTCTAACAAAAACCCACAAAATGACAATGAAATGTGACAATGACATTGACAATTGAAGTATTTGCTACCCACAAAGAAAGCGTTAGACCCGGCGCACACTATCGACATTGGCAAGGAAAAGGATCCTTTAGTATCTTACATGTAAGCGTACACCGTCGGAAACTATGGTTTAGTATGCTGGAACGTTCTGGAACGATAGTATCTTGCAGGAACAATAGTATTTATGCTTATATTATTTTTTTCTGATTTTTTATTCACTGTTGTATGATAACTATTACCAAAATGAGACGAAGAAAGGATAAAGTTGTTTTTTTTTTAAATATACCTCTAGTATCATAAGATCACTGATCCATCCCGAACTAATCCAAAGACTAATAGTAATTTTGACTCTAAATATAGACCTTAGCTATACGCATACTCAAACAAACGCAATTCAATTGAACTTTGTAAACAAGATACAAGAGTACACATAAACAATGATTGATTTTCGCAAACATGAAGCTACTTAAATGGATAAGAATTAATTGAAAAACATACAAATGTCCATCAATATCTTTCAGAACTGTTTGAAGTTCACTTAAGATATCAATCATAAAATGAATCCCATATTAAAGCTGATTGTCTGTCACATTCTGATGTGATTGATTTCAACTGCCATTTTGGTCGTAAGTGCCACTGCTTTGGCTTCAATTCCTATAATCATCATCAACAGCCTTACATCTACGTCGAACAACAACTCGCCAGCTGCATCCACTGGCTCTCCGCAATTCTAGCAATGACGTCGGTCTACCTAGGGAGACGGCTGCCTATGCGTCATCTACCGGTCTAAGGTCTCCACTAAAGGACGTTTCTGACTCATCTGTCGTCAGTCCGTCGAGCGACGTCGCCTGCCGATTGCCACTTCAGTCTGAAGATTTTGCGAGCTATGTCGGTGACTTAAATTCTTTGGCGAATTTCCATATTTCGGATTTTATCGAGCAAAGAAACCCCAAGCATAGCTCTCTCCATCACGCACTGAGTGACTTTGAGCTTCTCCAGAAGGTCAAAGGTCAGGGACCATGACTCAATGCCTTACGTCATCATTCAATTCAATTCCCGAATATGGGAAAGTATAATGCACTTTTCTCAATAATAGCCGGTGTATTACTATTGCTATGAAATCAATAAGTTAAAAAAAAAGTATCAAAAATCGTATTAAAACTCTAGTGACGCCAAATATTAATTTACATCATAACAGGAAGAACAGGATACCACATCAGTATCGCGATATCCATATAATAATATCACCGATCGTTATTCGGAAATACGTACACTCATACATTGAATGATTTTGATTACATCATTCAGTTTGATATAGCGATTAAAATTCAATCGGCGTTCTGCAGAGGCAAACAGACACACACACACACACAATGTACAAACAAAAATATAGATACTAGACACACGTGTATGTTTCAATGGTTTAATAGTCTCATCTGATGATTGCAATATTTTGTTTGTCCTTGTTCCTGATAGATTGCCGGTCACAATCCAGTTGGCTTTTTATGAGAAGCCCGCCACAATTATCTTACCATTATAACTTTTGTAAACCAGGACGAACTAACCACAAGTATGAAATCTTATACATTTTAATAGTGAATTAACACTTTTCTAGAATCAATGTTGGGTCATTAAAATAAATCAGAATACAAAATGTATGAGAATAATATCATGTTAGCAACAGTTTATGTTGTTATACGGCTGTTGTTAGTGAAATAAACTTTTTTATTATTACTTATTTTTATATGGACTATGTATTCTCTGGGCCGTCTTAGACTACAATAACCCTTGGCCATAATACAATTTAGGGTCCTTGTGGAGAGTTTCTTTTTTTTAAAGTTGCACCACACCAAGATTTTCTCCTGTATCGTGGGTACATTTACAAACATACATGTTAACAAACATATGACAACAACAATATGTGGATCACACAAAGATTTGCACTGGGCGTAAACCGAACCCACTCCACTTGCTGGACAGCCGGTTACCATGCAATGTGTATAGCAGGTGTGTCCGTCGTAGAAATTGTCGGTCTTTTAGGGTCCCCTAAGGATAGGGGTCCTGGGCACGGGCCCCGAGTACTCTTATAGTTGAGACGATACGGAGCCGCGGAGAACTTAACGGGTTACCGGGGCTCCAGCTCGAGGTACAGGAGTAGGAACGGGGTGGTTTTTAGTCAGTAAGAGTCTCAGCCAGGTGGGAGAAGTCATTCGATGATATTTCCACATTAAAAAAAAGGTTAAGACGATACTGTATATTCTATCCTCTATTGCATATGCTCAATGAATATAACCTTAACGTTATAAACTGTGAACACTAGACAATCTAGATTATCTCACATTCAATAAAAATCTGCATAACCCATTATACAAAGACCATAATTGGTTACTCTTTTCAACAATAGCTTTGTAATTCTATTACTGACGCGTGAAAAAGTCATGTAAAATGTTCTGCGATTTTTCCTTTGAACGTCACAAATTGATTTTTTGCGATCATTGTATTGTGTTCTCTCACGCTGTGAATATTTTCCAGTCGTATTGTATTTGGTATTGGATGAACAAGCTACACAAGCTATACAAGTCCAGTGTATCATGGTCTCACTTTCTATGATATTTTCTTACATTAAACGGTCAGAATATACTGGTTTTGTTTAGCTTGATGTGTAGTCATGCATTGTACACGTGCTAATAGAATTATAGATCGATTTCAATTAAATCGTCTTAACATTGTGGTTTGTACGTAATTGTGTCTTTTGTTTTGTTATTGTTGTTTTCAGAAGGGGTGTAAGCAAAGACGTGTTTGTTAGAGATTTCAAATCAAATTTTCTTTGTACGATTAAAATGTTCGATATTGTGAAAAGAAAAATAGTCTTATCTGTGTGTGTTAAAGCTAAGACGAGTTCTTTCATGTCATATCGAATTATTTACTTTATAGCAGTCAGTCGTGTATGGTGAGTTTTTGTTCCGTAATAGGTATGTAAACCGTTTCATTAAAAAATCTAATCAAATGTTTTACATATACAATCTGTCGGTACATTCCATTGATGCTTTATGACAACAGATGTCTCTAGTGGTCAGTTATCAGACTTATGAGAGTAGAATTTTTTTTATGTAATAATTATGACAACAATTTTACCTTTGAAACCCACTATTAATTAAATAGGCATTAAAAACAGCATCAAACAACCCAATAAAAACTTTCCTCGACACAAACTTGGAACTCAGAACCTCACTAAACCACCAATAAAATCACTATCACAAAACTATTTAAAATTCAAAACCTGACTAGCATAGGACCACAAACTTACATAAAGGTGAGTCTACACCAATTTAAGGTCCAATTAACAATATAACGAGGGCCTAGTGAGGCCATACCATTAATAATTAAGATACATTTGTTGGGCCGGGTCATACATCAAATTAATGTACTTTGTGTTACTATCTCTGGGGTAATGTATCAATTCCGTTGCCAATTTACGTATATGTATCTTATTATTATAATGTGAAGGTTTATTTTTAAATGGAATTCATTTTTTGGTAATTTTTATTGGATGTAGATCTTTAAAAAACTTTACCTTTTTTATTATTGTGTAAAAGAAATCAAGCTTCCTTTTGATTGAATAATGATTTTTTACTGTATCGTGGGTGCGTTTAAAAAGATACAAGTTCACATACACATGACACCCAGACCCGGAACAATAATTTGTGGATCACACAAAGAGTTGTTCCGTGTGGGAATCGAACCCGCGACACGTTGCGCGGCTGCCAGTTGCCCAGCCACCGCGCCAACCGTGCAGTCACTTTGTTTGATAGGTATCAAATAATAAGAATAAATGTGATTTATTTTGTTTTCGGCTTACTCACGTAATTAG